AGTAACTGCATATCTGAAGCTCTTACATAATTTCTTGGAATCGATTCAACGTGGGATAGTTTCCTAGGGACATTAGCTCTAACTATGCAAACCCCCTCGGAACCCGTCGTAACGGTACACGATCAGTCGAGAACCCCATTGAGCTCGACCAGAGCACCATGTTTCCGGGGCAAATTTTTCTGATGCCGTCCACGTAGATGGCCACTATGAAGATTTTCTTATGAAATGAAATGCGCTCTTCAATTCTAAGTTGGGAGCACACGCTTTGAGCTGAGCAAAGTGTGATTAAATCCATTGAGTCTGGAGACAAAATGTCTTTTTTTATTGCCCCCCCCCTGTATATGGCGTCACTTAACACTACACCACTTTTGCCCCTTACTAAAAAGTTCCCGTAAAAAATCTATTCGCCATAGATGTATCGACTTCGTAGCTGCTACTAAATTACAAAGCGATGAAATAAATATATGTCGGCCATTTTCAGTCAGCTTAGTTTGGTCGAGAAATACACATAAGCGTCATTTACATTTTAATATTCACGAACTTGCCCATATGCACGCGTTACCTGCCCCACAGCTTTCCCCTAATAGCGCGTCTCTTGCAAAAAAGAATGCCCTTTGCTTGAGCAACGCTCCCCTGCATGCGTGGCGTTCAGCAATATGAGACGACGGAGCAATATAGCTCATGTAAAAGAGGCGAAGATTAAAGAAGGGTAGAGAAATAGACGCTCAAAAATCAGTTTCAAGAGTCGCTCTATGCCTCGTTGCCCTCCCTCTCTGCCACAGCCTTTCGGAGTGAGTTCTCTTGCACACCAAAGTTACCACTAGTGGCTGTCAATATGACCGCAGTCCTTGGATTCCGAACGAAGCAAGGCTAGACAACTTCGTGGTCGTGAGCGCCTATTGACCGCCTCCAGTGATAGCGCATCAATGCTCCTTTTCGACCGATCCTTTATTCCTTGATACACTTGGCAAAATCAACACTAAATATTCTCAACCAAAAGAAAAACTGGAAGTGAGGCATATCGAGCCTAGTGCTTTTATGAGCGAAAAAAAAAAGATGATGGATAAAAGGATAAAGCATTTGCCGTTGATCAATCCCTTTTTGGGATGCGGCACGCATTCTACTTCCATTTGTACATTCGCAGTGGCATTTGAATGCGATGTGGCCTATACAATGACTTGCGGGGGCCAGCCGATGTTCAAGTCAGTGTTTCCTCCCAGACAAGTCTGGTACCAATTAACCGACCCCGGAGGGATGGAAGGCTTGGTTGGCCCGGGCGACTCACGACCCAGGATTTGATCCGCGTGGTAAGCGCGCCACTTGCCACTACACCACTTCCGCCCTGAAACATAAAAAAGAAACTTCACAAAAACTTTACTTACCATTAATGAGCTGCTTGGCTTCTGTAGACACGGCTCTCCAAGCATCACTTTCAAACGAGAATTCTGCCTTTCTTATCCGCTGCATGATGTCCGTCGCCGATTCCGTTTTCGACCGAGCATGGAACGGCACTTGCCCCGACAGCATTGTGAACTGAAATAGCATATTTTCCAAACTAGTAACAATAATAACAGCATTTCCAAACAACCTATGTGAAATAAGATTAATGTGGAAAGGCAGCTCAATTTTGCGGGTTGCGGATTGAGGTAACCCTTAGGTTTAGAACTGAGCATTATAGAATGGGAGAACTCCTCGCGCAGCGGCCGATGTTGAACTTTGCGAACCGAGCGATTCGCTTACGTTTGCATTCGCGTTACGGTAGCCAATAGAGCGATTCGCTGGCCGCAACGCAACCGCGGAGGACAGCGAAGCGCTGGATTGGAAAAGTCTGACATCGGCCTTA